GTCTGTCTGTCTGTCTGTCTCTCTCTGTCTTTTTTATGGTAAGTGTTTTACGGCGCTCGCAACTGCATGAGGTCATATTAGCGCGCGGGACACACCAAACATTTTCAACGGTAGGAAATTTTAATTTTTTTTTGCCCGGGTGGCGGCCGAAGCCTACTTTGATCGATTTTAGGCCACCAAGGGATCTTTAACGTACGCAACTTGCACACGGGCCCTCCGAGATTTTTCACCCTTGTCCGAGAAGGCTAGGTGTAGATCTTTCCTACCAGAAGATCAGGGTGGTGGTTGAAAGACAGCAATAAGAAGGAGCCAAGGAGTAGCAGTAGAAAGCCTGCAGAAAGAGTCAGGAGCCCAGAGGAGGAGGCAAAGGAGGTGAGGGGGTGGGGGCAGAAAGTGGAGACGAAAGCAGACGACAGTTCATTGTAAGAGAGCAGGAAATGAGGTGAAAGGAGACAATTTTAGAGAACATTTTTTGGTCGCTACCCGAATCGAACCCGGGACCTTTGAATGAGAGGCCAACATCTTAACCTCTAGGCCACAAGAGCCCCCTTCTCTCTCTCTGTATTTCGACATTACCAATTATTTGGATCTCTTCGTGGTTCGAGGGTGTCTTTGGTAGGTCCTGTCTCTTTCTTGCTGTCTCGCCTCCACAACCCCTCTCCAGCCCCCTCTCTTTCCTCCTTTCCTCTCCTCTCTCTCTATCTCTCAGTACATCTATATCTGTCTGCCTGTCCGTCTACCCGTCTATCAAGAGTCTGTCAGTTATCGTTCGTCCCTAATTGTGTCCACCTATCGCTCTATCTATCCCAAGCACACACACTTCAGAAACCTGCATTTTTACCCAACATTCCTCACCCGGTATCCCAGTTCAACAAGTCAAGTTATCAGTATTTGAGATCAGTGTGTGTATTAAAAAACTAACAAACGCAGGAATGTTTTAAACACCATGCAGTGCACTGGTGGCTCATGTGATTTGTGAGGGATTAGGACAAGTGCACGCTGAACACATTTTTCCGGAGAAGTGAAACTATTCTTATCCCCCCCCCCCCCCCCCC